AATTACATTTCTCTGTGAGTTTTAAAATGAACCATTTATACTTGCTTTATGATTCCTAAAATTATGAGTGTCTAAAATACATAAGGTAGAAGAAGAAATTAAAATTTGAGCCTAGAAAATCTATAAACTGTTTGCTGTACTCTTCAGGAATCTCTTGGGTGAAGGAAAAAAGCATACTTTTAAAATATGTCATATAAATTAGAATTGCCAACCTATATCACATAAAGGAATTTCCCAGTTTAGGGCACGGAAATCTGAAAAAAAAATTTTGCTAGTTTCCAGGTAATCTTAACAAAATAAAGTAAGTTTCTGAATTCTTCGTGTTATAAAGAATGATGTAATTTGAAAAACAGTTTCTTTTATGTCATGCCTAGCCTGAGATATATTTAGTTTCCTAATAGACTTGTGTGAGGTATCTTTGCTTGTGTTCTTATAACACCAGTTTAGAACTTCTAAAAATTTACTTTTTAAAGGGGGAAATCTAGAAATTTATCTGAAGGAAAACATCTTTTTATACCATCATGCATTTTATATTTAAATCAGTATGGATTTAGAATTTGAGTGCTTATACATTTGAATTATGAAAGATTATCAAGCTGCAGAAGAAGGGATGGGAATCTTGATAACTTTACTGTGTTAATGAGGCCACCTTAGCATTGTGCGTGTAGGTATGGCCTAAACTGAATTGGGTTTGGAGAGTACCTATCTGATTCATAAACTGAGACTTATGAATAAATAATTTATTATGAATAAGTAAATAAAATTGTCTTTTAGATGATGGATTATGTAAGAAGGTACTGCTGAATTTTTTTTGCCTCTGTTGAAATCATATCTTAAGACATCTTTTTTGTTTTTTTTTTTAAACTTCCCTGATTTGTGTTCCAGTTGTGATACTTAAAAGTAAAGCAAGGGGAAATCTATAGAAAAGTTCACACTTTGATTTTCTCTTTCATGTAACTTTAGATTATTTAGATTTTTCTAGGTCAGCATAAAATATTTCAAAAATCAAATACTGAATCATTGCCAGTTTGATGTTAAATATGTGAGTTAAAGACGGGGTAGGAAATCTTTGGTATATTGAATATACAGCTTGTCTTTTAGAATGCTCCATGGCCTGTTAGGAACCATCTGCACAGCAGGAGGTGAGCAGCAGGTGGGAGAGTGAAGTTTCATCTGTATTTACAGCCACTTCCCATAACTTGCATCACCACATAAGCTCTGCCTCTTGTCAGATCAGCAGCAGCATTAGATTCTCATAGGAGCACCGACCCTACTGTAAACTGTGCATGTGAGGGATCTAGGTTGTGCGATCCTTATGAAAATCTAATGCCTGATGATCTGAGGTGGAGCTGAGGAGGTGATGCTAGTGCTGGGGAGCAGCTGCAAATACAGATTATCATCAGCAGAGAGATTTGACTGCACAATAAATGTAATGCACTTGAATCATCCTAACCCACCCCCTCCCCAGAGAAAAATTGCCTTCCATGAAACTGGTCCCTGGTGTCGAAAAGGTTGGGGACCACTGTTTTAGAGTGTATGTGGCTGGATAAGAAAGGGCCTGAATGGATTTGTTTTCTAATTTTCCCTGTTCATATCTAAAAGACTAAAACAGAATGTCAACTTTTTACTTTTGTAGATGCTGAACAGTATCAGCTGTTACAGTAGCTATTTGCAGTGTTGAATTTTTGACATGAGTATTTTTACTGCTAACAACATTGTGGACATGTGTATTATTTCTGCATAGCTGTCAGGGTAGTAAAAAAAACTAGTTTGGAAAGAAACTAGTAATATAAAAACATCTTACTTTAATTGTCCACTATGGATTTTCTTTAAAAATGTTAAATAATGTGTTTTTGAATAATATGTTTTTTGTACACAGTCATTTTATTTTCTACTAAATAAAAATTTTTTTTAGAAAAAAAATTTTATCCATAGAATTTGCTGTCAAGAGGGTATATGTACACTTGAAAGAGGGAATAAAGAGTGTTTTTCTCTTTTCTTTAAGCTTTTAAAACACTTTTTATTTTAAAATAATTTTAGATGAACAAATAAGTTGTGAAGATAGTATGGTACAGAGCGTTTTTGTATATTCTTCACTCAGCTTCCCCTAATGTTAACATCTTACATAACCATGGTATAGTGATCAAAACTGAAGAATCAATATGGACTTAGTAAATTACAGACTTTATTAGAATTTCACCAGTTTTTCCACTGATGTCCTTTTCCCAGGATCCCACATTACATTTAGTTGTGGTATTTCTTTGGTCTCCTCTAATCTCTGGCAGTTCCTCTGTCCTTCCTTGTCTTTGATGACTTTCATATTTTGGAAGACTATTAAATGTTTCGTAAAATGTCACTCGATTAGGGTTTCTCTGATTTTTTTCTCATAATCAGTTTGAAGTTACAGATTTTAGGAGAGAATACCACAGAGGTAATATGCCTTTCTCAGCACATACTATCATGGGTTCCATGCTGTAACCTTTATCACTTGCTTATGGTGGTGTGTGCCAGATTCTTCCATTGTAGGGTTAATATTTTTCCATTAACTAATAAATATTTGGGAAAAAATACTTTGAGGCTCCACAAATATCCTGTTTCTTCTTAAATTTTTGGCCACTAATTTTAGCATTTATTCGTGGATTTTGCCTGCAGTGGCTGTGGTATTCCAGTGGTCATTTTTTATTCCCCTTATTTCCTCTATATTACCAGTTATAATTCTTCTGTGACAGAGAGTAGTCCCTCCTCACATTTATTTATTTAGTCATTTGTATATATTAGTGTGGATATTTATTTTATTCTGAATCAATACTGTTTATTTTGTTGCTCAAATTGTTCTAGCTTTGGCCACTGGGAATATTTCTGCGTCCTTTCAGCATGTCAGATTTCTTTTTTTTTTTTTCTTCCCCTTTGTCTTAAAAAGCAGTTCCTTACTTTCTGGCTTCTTAAGATGCTTCAGGTTCATCTTGTATTTTCCCTTCTCCAGCCCTGGAATCACCCACTTTTCCAAGGAACCCAGGTTCATCTTATTGGAGAATAGTATTTAGAAACCAACATCTGGGTGCTAGTTTGCTTATTGCTACTGAGTGGCTATTGCTTTTAGGCCTCTCAGCTGTCAGAGCTAGGAAATGTAAGTATATTTGCTAACCCACATTTATATGCACATCTATATTTATTTCTGTGTCAATCTGTATATGCATTTAAAATTTTTTTCATTTAAAAGTTCATACTGATACATTCAACTCCAATGTAGCATCACAGGATTATTCTCATATTCCCCTTTTGCTTATTTGAATTTATTTCTCCCACGATGAGAAACCTGATTCTCTCATTATCTACAATGTACTTATGTAATTGTTATACATGTATCGTAGTTTCAGAATTGCTAACCCATACTCCTATGAGAAACAAATTTACCAAATAGAACACAGTGTCTGTGTATAGTTCTTTTTATCTTTATTCCCACAGTATCTAGCCAAAATGCTTTTTTCCAAAGTTAGTTAAGTGAGGTCTTTTCTTCCATATCCCCTTCAGTTCACTGTGTCATTGATTTGTATCACAGTTAGATTCATTTTTCACAGTTTTGATCTTATCTTGGATTTCCCTGACTTCCTGGTTATTTGTTTTTAATTTACATACAGTAAAATACACCTTTTGTGTTATATAGTTCTATGGGGTATTTAAAAATGCATGGAGTCATGTATCTGCCAACAACAGTTCCATGACCCCAGAATTCCCTCGTGCTGCTGCTTTGTAGTCAATCCCTCTCCCCAACCCCAGGCAACCACTGATGTGTTTTCCACCCCTTCGTTAGCCTTTTCCAGAATCTCGCATAAATAGAATCATACAATACATACCCTCTTAGGTCTGGCTTCTTTCGCTTAGCAAAATACATGTAAGTTTCATTCATTTGTTGTATAAATCATTAGTTTGTACCTTTTTGTTGCTGAGTAGTATTTTATTGTATGTACCACAGTTTGCTCAATCATTTATCTGTTGTGGGACATCTGGGTTGTTTCCAGTTTTGGTCAATCATGAATAAAGATACTACAAACATTTACA